AAAAGGCTGATGTTCAGCCAAAACACCAAGCCAAGTGGCTTGGTGCCTTAATTGGTTGTCAACAATTTCCGTTGATTGCGCGCATCGGCGAGCATTATCATCCTTTTTTAATTTTATTATTTTTTAATTTTGTGGTGTTAAAAAATTATCAATGGCTAATTTCTTCATTTTGCCCTAATTTAAAACAACCAATTGTATTGGAAGACATGGAGGACGAATTTAATGAAGAAGAGATATTGAATTGGAGTTCAATAAAGAGTTAGATAAGATTTAAGTTCCTATACTATATATTTACTAATTTGTATTTTAATTTGAAATTTATCTTTTTATTGAAAATTTTGAAAAAAATGTGTAACATTCCTATAAATCTGTTTTAAATGTTTAGTAAGTATTATTTTTAATTATTAAATATTTTTTTGATTTATTAAAAATTAAAATAATATTGAAATAAGAAAATGCATTTTTACGCTTTTTTACGCCTAAACCTCGCCTAAGCTCGCATTGCCCATACCTTGGCCTCTACGCATTGCCAAGCATTACGACTTTTAGGACACTGCCAATGACAGGCCTGTTAATAGGCCAAGGTGTTGGCAAAACCTTGGGCCTTGATTGTTATGTTGTGGGCCCCATGAAATTCATACCTCGGCCCTGGTTTTAAACCCAGGATTTAATCCCAAGTTTTGTAGCAGGCACCACTTTTTAGGGTCCGCAAGTTATGAAGGAGTCCTCTTTTAACCCTTTGTCTGGTAATAACATCAACCATATGATGATCTATCATCTCGATCGAAAGAAAGTTTGAATGGTTTATTCAATGTAAGGGCTTGATTGGTCGTACTTATACAGTGGTGGTGCCCGAAACAAAGGGACCACCCAGTCGCAGTCGCTACGACAGGGTCATTTTGTAATCCGAATGCTACAAAAAATTAGGTTAGAATGGCCTTTTCTATTTCCAACGTTAAAAGTATTGTAATAAATAATCAGGGCCGGCCCTCATATTTTGGGGGCCTTATGCCAATTTCAAATTGGGGCCCTATATTTTTGAGTTATTTTGTAGAGTTTTAGCCCCTGTTTGATGGAGATTAAGCTATTGTTTGAGGCCTATTTTTTCATCAAAATACATTTTTCAACAATAATTTGACACCATTTCAACCATACATTTTTTAATAAAATAATATTACACGTAAATCCAAATTTTTTTCTTATTTTTGAACCAAACATTCTCCATCATAACACTATTTCAAAATGATTTTTTTTTTAGAAAAATGGGGCTCAAACAACTCCTAAAATATAATTTCCATTTTTTTCAAAATGCATTATTAGTTTCTTATGTTTTAGAAAAATGGGGCTCAAACAACTAATTTCCATTTTTTTTCAAAATGCTTTATTAGTTTCTTATGTTTGTATATGATACTTCTATATTCCAGAATTTCATAAATAGACTTTTCATTTTTTTTTCGACCAACCAATTAACTTTACATAATTTGGGACCCTCACCAAAATGGGGCCTTAGGCAATCGCCTGCTTCACCTGTACTCAGGGCCACCATATAAATACTTTCTATAATTAACACTGGAACTAAAATACTCAAGATTTTTCAAGAATTTTGTTATATGATCAAGAACTCCACTGAAACCACCCTGAGAGATGAAAAGATGGACATGCATATCTATCACATGCATTTATTAAATGGAAAGTCATTAATGTTAAACAATTCATTAACTTCACTAAACTACGTCAATTAAGATTTCATTAATGTTAAAGTTTTCTTAAGATAACGTAAGAATTTATGTGGCTTATGTAATTCATTAACTTCACTAAACTATGTCAATTAAGATTTCATTAATGTTAAAGTTTTCTTAATAAATTACATAAGCCACATAAATTCTTACGTTATCAATT